GTGAAAGGGGGTGTTTCATATTAGCTATAGTCTAAACTCCTAGTATCCCCCTTAATGAGCCCTATAGTCGTCCCTTATATAATCCCCTATATAACCCCCCTTTAAGGAGTTTAGACCATAGCTCATATTAGTCTGAAGGGATTACTGCCGGCTGAGGGACAAGCTGGTAAGGCTTATGGAGTTATGGGCGCCGCAGACGGTCCTTTCTCAAAATGGGGGTTTCCTAAAATTAGGGGTACCATTCTGGGGTCCTTTTAACAAGGACTGTAGTATTTTGGGGTCTATATTGGGGTCCCCCTATTTTGGGAAACTACCAAATAGTGTTTTTCCGTTATCCCCAGAAGTAGGGTTTTGACAACAATCCGAGGACTCAAGCACAAGACGTGTGACCCTACACACTGTCACAAAGGGGCCTGCGTTTTTGAGGCCCCGGACCAAAATCTTAAATCTCAAGCTGACCCCAGTATCTTAGACCCCACGCCCTCAACCCACAGCTCTAAACCCCAAGCCTCAAACTGAGACCCCCTAAACCTCAAACCTAAACCCTACACCCTAAATCCCAGGTACATCCTTCGCCATGCCTTGGCGGGGCTGACGGAGCCCTTCAAGTTCGTCCCAGGGGAGGCACAGCGGTTTAGGGTTTAGGGTTTGACCTACTTGGAGTGTTATTCTAGCCAGATATACTTGTACCCAATGACAACTCCCACGCCCCGCGAAGTCCTTGAAAAAGGCTATAATTCGTTTCGAATTGTCCTAAACCCTATGTTCAAAACCTAAAGCCTTATGATTGGGTTCTACTTGCCCTGAGCCTTTCAAGTATTGCAGGGTTCCTCTTTGGTTTGGGGCTTGGCGGGTCTGCCTAGGATTTCTAGGATCGCTTCAGGGTTTAGGGTTTACGAGGCCTAAAAATTAAGAATTTATGGTTTTGCTGTATCTTATAAGTGATGACTCTGAGGGAATATGTGTGAAAATTCTCCAGGCTTCTAGATTACCTAGGCTTAGGGTACAGGAGTGGGGTTTCAAGGTTTAAGTAAGGTCTAGGCTTTAGGGTGTAGGAGCTAGGGTTTAGGGCTTGTTTTTTGGGGGTTGAGAGTTAAAGGGTTCGGGTCTTAGACTTTTGCATTTTAGGGTTGGTGGGTTAGGTTTCAGGGATTAGGGTTAGAATTTAGATCAGGGTTTGATTAGGATTTAGGGATCAGGGCTCGGGACTTCGGGCTTGAGATCTGAAGCTTTCAGGCCAAGAGATTAGGACTTGCGATTGGTGTTTGGGGTTGAGGTCTTCGTACATAGCGTTTCGGACTCTGAGGTTCTGGTTTAGGCTTCCCCTAGACCCTAAGCCCCACAGCCGAAGCCGCAAAACCTGAATATGGTGTTCCATGTCAGTTTGGGAGCCCTAAACCCTAAACCCGAGAGGGTAGCCACCGTGTCCATCTGCTTAAGCTTTTTCTCTTGCGGCAATTTAAGTTACTATGTCGGGAAAACTCGACTATTTACTATATATATATACACATCCATCATGTTAACTTAATCTAATTTCCTAATAGCAAACCAGGAAACGAGCGTAGTTGTTGGCCGTTTTTCGTGGGCTTCGTTCTGCTGGCCATGATGGGTCACAGAGGCAGGGTTTTCTTTGATGCTACGTAGAGGTCAGATGGTGGATGATTAGGGTTTAGGGTTTAAGGGTTTAGGGTTTAGGGTTTAGGGTCCTATCCCCAAGGCATTATTGTAGTTACCATTATTGGGGCTATCTAGGGGGTGCAAGGGGTCCTCCATCCACAGGTAGGGTTTGGGTCTGCATTTTTGATTCGCCCATTAGTGTTCCTTGCGGCTGAGAAAAAAATCCAGCCTTAATCACAAGATGAAGGGTGTTTTTCCCGAAGCCCTACACCCTGGACTGCGTGTCGGAAAAGAATTAGGGATCCATTAGTAGGACCCCCCACCCTGTAATAGTGGTATAAGAGGAATATACTAGGACCCTAAGATAATCCTTATTACCCATAATCATCACTATTACTGGGTGGGGGGTCCACCTAAGGGATCCCCTAAACCCTAAACCCTAAACCACCGTTTCGACCTGGAGTCTGACGCCCTAAACCCAAACTCTATAAGCTTACCCTTTCAGCATACATCTAGCACCAGGGTTTAGGGTTTAGGGTTTAGGAAGGAAATGCTACTTTTGCAAGGGGCCTCTAATTTTTGAAGCCCGAAATCCTACATATCCGAAGATGTACTTATATACCGCCTACAGGGGCCGAATCACTTCAGTCCTAGATCCATTTGACACAGGTTCTGCCCGATGAGAGCATCAGAGGTAACTCGGACAGACATTTGCTCTTTAGGGTCTAGGGTTTAGAGTTGTGCTTCGGCGTTTTGGGATCTCAGGCTTGAAGGTTCAGGGATTTAGAGATTTAGGGTCCAGGGTTCAAGGATTGAGGCATCTAGGGTATGGGTGTTTAAGGATTTAGGGATTGAGGGCTCTGGGATGTGGAGTTTAGGTTGGTTACGGCCCTAGTCAGTAACAGCTGGATGGTAATTGTATTATGACTGTTTATAGCCTTTTAGAATGTTACCCTAAATCTAAACCCTATATAGAGCCCTTAGTATGACTCTTGCTCGGGTGGGGACCGTGCCCAAAGATCAGAGTGCACGGCCAGTCATGAGCGCATTTTTTGCAATCCTTGCCCTCCACGCGGTTTAGGGTTCAGGTTTTAGTGTACTACGACTTGGGGTACTCGGGTTTAGGGTTTAGGGTACATGAGGGGACATGGAACCCCATGCAGCCCCCTTCTTTAATACAGCCGTCAAGGACCCTTTGGGGGAGTTCCATGTGAGCTTTGGGTTGGGCTGGAAAGCAAGGTAAGCAATTGCATCTGCGCATGTCCGAAAAGGAACCACCCATGATTCCCCTATAGTCCCAGGTATATAGACCCAGCATACACTAATCCGAATTCAAAGGATTCCCTCCAAACCCAAACGCCAAACCCTAAGCCCCAAACCCACGCAAATCCTGGACCCTGAAGATTGAACCCTGAGCATTAAATCCTAGCCCTAAAAGCCATTTTGGCCCAAAGTCTTTCAGGGTACCTGGCTGTGAGGACAGCCCGTATCAACTCAACTGTTAGCGAGCCCTGCTTCGAAGAGCTCAGGAGGTTTTGGGCTCAGGATTTCTGATTGCATTGGGATAATCTAGGTGATTATTAACTCATAGGGCTTGTGGATTATTCAGGGTCTGAGGTTCGAGTTCTGGGATGAGGGTTTAGGTGTGTGTAAGGAAGTCTGCCTGGTTGTGCTCAGGCTGACATGGAGCTGTTAAAAGCTTGCCACCCCAAACCCTAGCCAGCCTTCAGCTTAAACCCTTAACCTTCAGCCCACAACCCTGGACCCAGAACCTGAAACCCTAAACCCTTCGGCCATGTCTTCGTTGATCAATGACTTGCAGCTTGCGCTGGAAGTTGATTCTGGCGAAGGATGGAAGACACTCTATCCAGAACCTCAGCGGCTGAATATGAGATTCCTGGGAAAACCAGACCCTAAATCCCAAATGCTATTGAATCCCCTTAACGTCAAGTGCCCTAAGCCCGCAATCTCCTAAACCCTACATCCCTAAATCCTAACCCATAGCTCTGCTAACAGCATACAGCTTTTTCCAGTTATCAGATCATTTCGCCAAACAACATAGCTTTAGCTAGTGCAGTTGGATGGGACACATCACCTGTCAGAAGCAAGCAGCCTGAAGAGCTTGAGCTTTATCATTCTTTCTGTTGGTTATTTGCCCTTGATTGTGGCCGGTTGTTTCATGTGTTTTCCCTATATTTCCAACACTTTTGTGGCCCCTAAGCTAGGATTTTGCACCACTTTAGCTTATCAAGTACGCTAGAATGTTGTTTCTGACCAGCAAAAAATGTAGTTGTGGCCGAACACATGGCCAGCCTGCGCAGAGAACCATCTTCAAAGCAGTTTTTGATGGCCTTTCTTGGGCTTTTGACCCCTCCTGGTCCCCTCTTGGTCCCGGTTAAGCCAAAATGGGGTCCCAATCGTGCTGAAGATGTTGGCGTACCGGGGCGCGCGCACGTACAGGAGCATCACCAGCGCAATCGGGACCCCATTGCGGGTTTGTTCTGTGTAGTGCTTTGGGCAGGCTTTGGGCAGGCTTTGTGCACAGCAATCATTGTTACGCTTGCAATACTTGAGCTTACCTTGATTTATGTATCTTCTGCCGTTTGGCTCAACCCAAAATTGCTAGGATCAGTGTTCCTGAAGATACCAGACGTTTCCTGGTGTTTCTTTTCCGCATTTACCAGGTGTTCCTTGGAGGCCTTTAGCCTTAATTCTCCAGAGTGCCGGGATAGAAACTGACCGCCCTTCAGCTTTTCTTTGCCGTTCACGGTTTGGAGTCCCGCGAAGACTTTGCCTTTTCCTCTTCGAGAACCGTGAGGAGGCCAACGAAGCTGGGGGTCCTATAATAGCAGCATCATGGGAGGTCGCCCGGGACGAGAGCCGTGAAGGGCTTGCAGTCAAAGTGCGTGATATTTATGCTATGCAGGCTGCAGGCAAGCCCTCTATGCCTGCCCCTCCATTGCCGCATCGTCGGCTAAGCCGACCACTGCCCCGCGAGCGGCGCGGAGGAGTCATAAGTCCACGCTGGACCTTCCGGTGCGTAACGCCGAAGGCTGACCTGTCTGTGCTGGTCAACATTCTCATTGCAGGCAGTAAGTATTCGGCGCAGGTCTGGTCAGACAGTGCTGCTAGCGCAGTGAGCAACGTCGTGTCCATGATCGTCAACAAACCTCTGGACAACGCGGAGCCGTCTACCCTGTCGCGGGTTTGCTCCACATGGAGGGAACTCAAACATCAAACAGTATTGCGCGGGCCATGGGTATGTCATCCACAGCCTGTCCGCGCTGCAAATCGCATCCTTAGTTGCGGCAAGCAAGGCGCGTAGCCGAGTTCTGCCTGCTTTTTCTTCATGGGCAAACGTTTCCATTTCGCTGCGGACCTAGGCCTTGCCTTTGGTCTCGGCGATTCGGGCCAAGCACCCCAATTGGTTATTGCTGTCCGCTACCTGGCTTCAAGCCATGGGCTGCGTCCGTTTGACGATTGTGCAGCGGAGCCGACTGGTGTCCATGGATGGGTGTACCATGTACATGGAGCGCGTGCGTGGCAAACAGCGTTCCCGCAGGGCGACTTTGGTGATGCGTTTGTCCGTGCCATGTCTGCCCTGCCTCGCAAAACCCATCCCCAGTCCATTGCCTTCGATCTTGCCACAGGCACAGAGGTCTCCCCGCAACAATCCGAAGCGTAATCCAGCTGGCTATGGCCCCACTTATGTACAGACGAGGTGCAAAAGGTCTCTTCCAAGGCGTGAGTTGCACGTCACCCTTAGTTTCCTTGCAGGGCTGAATGCGACAGATGTGTGTATGCACTCGGCAATTGGCTGGATTCCGCATCCCAGGGCTGCAGTGTTATGCAGTGTTATGCTCCATAGGGCCAAGCAGCTCCAGGCCACCACTCCCAAGCATCGCATTAGCTTTGTCCACAAGGATATTGTGTTGGACTAGGCCTGGCACATGTGGGAAGAGGTCGACCAGAGCGTGTTGCAACAATCCATGGAGCGTTCCGTGGACTCTGCCGCGGCCATCAGGGCAATTCATACCCCCAGCCTGCTTGCAAGTGGAAGCAAGCCGCTTTCGGCTCCCGCTGCTTTCTCAAGGCTGGTGCGCTTTGAGTTGCAGGCGTGCTTACAGGAGTAGCCCTGGGCCGCCCATGGTGCAAGATCCGCGTCCTGTTGCCTGCATGTATTCAGCAAGCCTTAGTGGCGCACCACAAGGTGGAGTATCGCTGAGTACTATATCGCCGTGCGAGGAATAAACAAGCGTGCTTGCAGGACTTGTGAGTTGAGTTGGCAGGATTGACCGTGAGTGCTAGGTGCTGCGTGTTTTGCACACATGTCTTTGATCCTGTGCTTGTGGCTTCCGTGGCTTCTGGTGCGTTGAGTGTAGACTGGCTGACGTGTCGCATGCGTGTGGGACTCCAGGTTGTGATCGCGAAGCTCATGGAACGCATCGTTTTTGTTGTCGCAGGTGTAAGTGTGGACAAGGACATACCAATGGGTGTGATGATCGTAACCATTCAAGCCTGGGGGCCGGAGGTGCCCGTGCTGGGCAGCCAGTCCTAGAATTTCGATTTCATTGGCAAGTGGATGCCCCATTGGTGGTGCAGAGAGCCGCGCTGAGCTTTACAGAGATGCAGCTGGTTCGCTGCCTGATCTGAGTCCTTTACCTCCTCATTTCTTCTTTGCCTTCTGAGAGCAGGCGTCGCTTTGTACACCATCTTCTTCTTGCTTTCCATCCTGACCGCTGCCCTCTTGCAGAGGCGCATGCTGTCGCTGTGGTGTTGACCCAGCTGAGGGATGAGTTTAACTGATGTAGACTGATGTGCGGTCGGAGACAGAGTACTTCCACTCTTTGCTGCAACTGTAGTGTGCATCTCTTACATGTTGCTTTTAGGCGCCCCCTTTGATTGCAGGCAGCTTGACTGCGCGATGTGTTTATGTAGCCATTTTCAGTCCACTCTCTTGTGCGCCTGCTTTCTTTTTGGGACCCTAACACCATGGCCTCGGCTCAACAGGTGTTACAAGAACTCGCGGAGCGGTTCAAATTCGAAGATGCTTTGCATATCAAATCGTGAAGCAGGGGGTGACTTCGCTCAGCGAATTTCGCTACTTCGCCAAGAGCGACGCGGAGTTGATGGCAGCCTTTTGTACTCCCATCAAGGGCAACCTCACGAATAAGGCGCTTCAGCGCGCCAGATTCCGCCAAGCATGGCTGTTTGTCAAGCTGAAAGATCCCGCGAAGACCGGGGATTCCATCTTACCGTCGCTCTGGACGCGCGTGAATTTCTCCCGGCCACCCAGCTGGCGGCAATGCGGGATGCCTTTTGGGCCAGGCGCCGCGTGACCACACCTCCTGATGTGACACCGAGCGACACATGGCTCACGCTGTGCCAGTGTGCCATTACGAAGACATCTTTGAGGTCAGGTTGGTGTTGAACCAGCGCACTGTCGGGGCCAACCTGTACTTCTCCGACAAGCCCGACGAAGACGACCAAGAGGCGGACAGTGCATGGTAGAGCTACGTCACTCAGCTCCGCCTCTACGTCTTCGCTCTTTCTATGGTGGAGCCGGCGCCTGCACGGAAGGAGACCCCGGATCGCAGCGCGGAGTTTGTCCAGATACCCTTCGTCCTGCTCATGAAGTACTTCTACAGGGTGGAGGAGCTCGTTCGCGAACTTCCGGACCGCGCCCGCTTGGGGCATATCGTTAACCTCGATCGAGCCGAGCGCGGAATGGGCGCAGCTTTTCGGGGCCACAAATTTGCCTCTGGGCCAGATCATCCTTACAATGTTCAAGGAGCGTGAATCACTGCCCCATGGCCCTCCCCCTACTCCGCCTTAAAGACAAGTTGCCGGGAGTGAAGCTGAGTTCGCGCCAGCGCTGCGAGATGGCGCAAAGTTCTGTCGGCTCTTTCAAACCGGGCGTTGCCCCGAGCAGAGCGAGGGCTCCTGCAAGAATGGTGAGCGCCCACGCGCGGTGAAGTTCAATTTTTCACAGTCTCCACAAGTTGCGGCGGCAGTTTTGGGGGTCAGTAGCGCAAACTGATGAAGACCTGCCGCAACTTCCGGTGTTTCTGGACCTTCTGTCAGGGCCTCAGTGTCCGCTGAGCCATGCCTTTCACTCCGCAGGTTGGAGAGTTCTGCAGGCTATTGATTTTCCTTTTGGATGATGCATTTGATGTTACCAGCCCCCCAGTTCAGCAAGCCTCCTGAATGAAACCTTTGCTCTGCAGCCATTGAAGTCAAATTGTCAGGCGGCCGAGGAAGCACACCTTTGCGTTCTTATCAGTTCCATAGGGTTTGCCAGGTCTTTCCCAAGCAGAAGCTGTGACCACCTAGCGTCAGACAACGAATGTTTAGATTTCTTGCTCGCCGTGCAGCAGGTGTTGTCTGAGAAGTGCTTTGGGATGTAGTTTCCCCCTTCGCTCTTCAAATTTCTTCCCTACTTCGGCCGAAGTGTTCGGGATGGCTCCCTCTCTACATCTTCTGATGTCGTCATGGGAACCGTGACCGTTTTTCACGCTTAGGCGAGTACTGCGGGATGTAGTTACCCCCTTAGCAGCCTGACCTGTGCAGGGGTATCCTGCTACCTGAGATCAGGTGCCTCGAGACGAGGTGAAAACCAATGCACTATGGGCTTTGCTCATAAACCGAGTGTGTCTGCAAGTTGTACACAATGTGTTGTAAATTAAGATAGAGTGACCAAAACTTTCCAAACCTAAAAAACTATTCCAGGTACCTGATCAGAAGCATCAGCAGGGCTGGGGTGGGCTTGGCCTTCACAATGGCTGGGTGGGCGGGGAGAGACAGCCAGGCTGGCATGTACTTTAAGAGCCCCGGGCGCAGTCCGCCTACCCAGTGGCGGAGAAGCCGCGAACGCAACGACGGCGTTAACCCTAAACCGTAAACCCTCCCTATAAGCCCTAGAAAACTTGAAGCTTTTCAGTGGGTGGGCATGAGACCAATCGGCGCAACCAGAGTAGTTCAAACCTGCAACACATTGCTGCTGTTCTCAGTAGTTGCGCACGAAACCAATCGGTGCAACAAACCAGGCTGTAATGACTCCGCAGGACCTTGGGCGCCTGCTGCTTGGCGTGTGTGATGCTGCTGCTAAGATGCTGCAAGACTGCAAGCCTTGGCTTGGGCTGTAGCCCATGCCCCAGGCAGCTGATCTTGCAGAACAAGTGCGGGCGCTGCGGTTTGGTGTTGCTGCTATGCCCCCCACCCCCACCCCCACCCCTCCCCACCCC